TTTTAACAACAAGCTGAGATTGCATAATAGTATAGGGAAATTTTGCGCTAAAATACAGAACTAATTTTAACGGTAACGGAAATTAGTTAAGATCCTATAATTTGTCTTTTAATAGTGTGATCTGCGAAAACTACATTTTAAAAACATTTGTTCATATGCAGACGAACGTATGCCTTTGAACAAAACACACTGAAAAACGCTCGTTTTTTCAAACTCTCCTTTCTATCAAAGTACCTATTTACAAGGGTTTAGCGGTGGGTTATCATCATTAGGAAACACCCATCGGGTCGGATTCCTGTTCAAAGGTAGACGTTCGTCTACCCTTGAACAGCTTTTCCGTCTGAGCCACTCAAAATGAGGACAGAACATGGAAAAGGTAATCGGTTATTGTCGCGTATCGACAGATATGCAAGAGCAAACAGGGCATAGTCTGGATGCTCAACTGAAAACGATTGACGACTTCGTAACAAAAAACGAGATGCAGCTTTTAGATGTATTTATTGAAACCAATGCCGGATGGCGCAATAACAGGCCGGGCTTAAAATCGGCATTAGCCGAATGCAAGACGGCATAAGGCCACGTTACTATTGCCCAAACTTGACCGTCTTAAGCCGAAGCGTTGCGTTTTATCTCTGCCCTGATTGAAGCGCGGGTCAAGTTTATTGTGATTGATAATCCCAATGCTTCTAAATTCCTGCTGCATATTCTGGCGGCTGTCGCTGAACATGAATTGGATATTATTCGCACCCGGACAAAAGAAGGATTGGCGGCTGCAAAACGATCAGGCGTTGAATTAGGCTGGTACGGCAAATACGTCACCTCCAAATTCAACCAGTTTCATGCTGATATGTTTGCCTGCCGAATGCAGCCGATTATTGAATGCATTAAGCAGCGCGGTATTAAAACAGTCCGGGCAATCACAAAGGAATTAAACAAGCTGAAAATACCGACCTATCAAAAAGGCGGCCATAAATGGCATATCTACACCGTTCACCGGCTCTTGAAACGACTACTTGAAAAACAACCCAAATAAACACGTTTAAACCATGAAAAAACACGTAAACGCCCATGACGACGTTCAAATGCAGCAGCAGGGTAACACCTACATTTTTACTTATCAAAAGGCCAAATACACGCCTGTCATTGTATTCTTCGGCATGATTGTTTTTGGCATGCTCAGCCTTATTCCATCAATGCTTTTAAGCAGCAATGCCCTGTTGCTTATTTGCACGTTTGTGCTTCCTGTGGTGCTTTATATCATCGTCAATGCCAAACGGAAAGATGGCAGCTTTACAATCTCAGCCAACAACATTCTTGTTGATGGTGTTGATTATGCCCGGACAAATATCAACGTGCTGTTTATTAAAGCACCTTATTCCCCTGAAAAGGTGACACCAATCGAAAGAAACAGCGGTACCATCATTGTTAGCGGCAGTGCGCCATTTGTCGCAGGCATGGGAGCAACGCTGGCGGTGACGAAAGGCGTCGGCACTGCTGTTGATGCTGGCCGGCTGATTTCGCAAGCGGCAACCAGAAAGATTATCCTGCAATATGTGCAAAAGAATGTGTCGATAGGATTTCGGTATGGTGATAAGAACATCACACTGGCGTCCGGCCTTGCAGAAGCCACGGCAAATAGTTTGTACCAGAAAGTTATGCGCGTATTGGAAAAGAATTAAACAACCGTAAAAAGAAAAATTATCCACTCACCAAATCAATCAATTCAATATTTATGAAACACAACTATTCTTTACTGGCGGCAACAATGGCCGCATCTGTCCTGCTGTTCTCCTGCAAAAAGGATGACAACAGCAGCAACAATGGCAACGGCAATCAGACGGGCATTGCAGGCATGAAAAAACAGATTGTCGGCTCATGGAAGGTGGAAAGCAAAAACATGCTTATCACTGATATGAACGGCAATGTCGTGCAGACAATTGATGAACTAAAAACCTGCGAAAAAGACGACACTTACACATTTACCGAAAGCGTTTACACGTTTGATGAAGGTGCCGTTATTTGCCCGTCGATGGGTAACGGTAATAATAACCCGTTCCCCTGGACAATCTATAATGACAGCACTTTTGATTTTGTTTATGGGCCTGGGTTAAGTACCAGTCCGAGGATTGATTTT